GGCCGCGACCACCGGCCCCGTGCGGAGCCGCATCCGCTCTGCCCCGGCCTGGCTCCGCTCAGACAAAACACCAAGTGCCTCCCAACATCCCACTAGCATTTCAAACCGCGAAACCTCAACGTTTTGCAACAAAACCGCTATTTCTTGCAACTTCAAATGTGTGGCAATGTGCCTTCTTCATGCAACAACAAAGCAGACCCGAGCGCTGAGGCATCCAGCGCGGATGCAGCAGCAAGAGCTGAAGAGCTGCGAGGCGATCCAGCCGCCGAGCTCAGCCTTCTGTCCCTGGCCAGGCACAGCCCGTCAGTGAGGCTCCGCATCCAACACTGAGCCTGAGACGTGCCAGAAATCCTGACACGGGGCCGCTCGGATACAAGTTAGCTCCTGGAAGAGCCAAAATGACACGCACACATGCACAATTCTTGTCACATCTACTCTTGCTTCCACAATCTCACACACGCTGCTGAGGAAGGCACACAGAATGGCCTCGGTTGGAACGGACCTTGAAGATCATCTTGTTCCAACACCTCTGCCATAGGCAGGGACACCTCTCACTAGACCAGGGTGCCCAGCGCCCCATCCAGCCTGGCCTTGAACAGTCCCAGGGATGGGCCACGCACAGGTCCTCACCTGCATGTAATCAGTAAAAATGTTATAGCCATGAAATCAAAAGAACTGCCTGAATCATGAGGAAGATGACATTATTGTTCCTAATAGTAAAATAACCACGTGTTTACAGGAAGACTTTTGGCTCATTGGAGAGGTGTCACCACAAGACCCTGCAGCTGTAACTCCTGGTCACAGGTGCTCTGTGCAACCTCCTGGCTACCTACACTCCACCCTGAGATGGTAATTCCCATAGGTCAGAAACTGCTGGACAAAAATAATTTTAAGCTTTTAATTAAGTATCCGGTGGCTGGGGAGCAGAGGAGGAGACAATCCTGCATCTTCTGCACAGTATGCAAACAGGCCGTCAGGAAACTGGTTCTACCAGCTTTTCACTCTCGGCACAACCATCCACACTGTCCTTGAGAAGAGCATTGTTTTACATTTCAAATGGGTGTGGAAAAATCACCTCAAAAACAGAGCTGTGCAGAGCCTTTGTTGGGAAAAAGCTGAAGGGAACGAAGCCTCCCATCGAACAGGCTCTATTTATAAATGTGGAATGATTTCTTCCATTTGGCAGGACTAGGCTGCTCCAAAGGCCTCTCTGACCTGTCTTTATGTAGCTTTAAACCAGCTGGCTTGTTTGAATTGAAATCCCCATGGATTTCCATCTAACCCCACCAAAAAACAGTAGTTCCTCTTAAGAAGCACTCCCAAATTAGGTACATGAGAGTTGTGGTCAGGGAGAGAAGTACTCTAAGCACATGAGCTGAATCTGGGAACTTCCCATTTACATCCAAGCATAACAGGCACTTTGTACAGTGCAGCATCAGCATTACATTCCAGTATCTGTATGGAGGTTCTGCTGGGGAGATTATTTTACTCCAAAACAAGCATACAACACCCTAATTTTAAAGTCACAAGCCATGTGAAGAAGAAAAAGTAACCTTTAGCAGTTTCAAGTAAGAGCAAAAGTGAAATAAACACCTTAAGAAATTGTAACAGAAGTTTCAGGTATTACATTTTCTAAAATTCAGGTAGTTTTCACCTCTCTGCACAGTATATGGCCTGTGCCACACACCTGAACACGTGTGACTACCTTTTCTGCCAGTTTTAGCCCCGAAACAGCCTGGCCAGTGCACAAAGCACTTGTACTGAGATACCCTCACAAGAGCTGGGCTCTGAGCAGTCACAAGTCACTAAAGCAACTGTCAAGAAGTCTGATCACAACTTTATTCCATCTATCATAAATATGTATTTTATGCACAACAAGCATATTACTGAAATCACAAAGTGTCTGAATATGAAGGCCTGAAATCTCTATGCTATAATTAGTGACAATATCAAAGAAGATACCACAGAGTGGGGAAGACACACACTTACCTTAATGCAGATTGCACATTACAACGCATCTTCCAGAGTATTGCACTTAAAAACCCTTCAAAAAACAAGTGAAACCCCTGGTTCTGCCTGAAGCATTTAGGCCCAAAGATACCACTCCCATGCTCTCTGCCCACCCATCTATCCAATACTATGCACTTGCAGCGTGATGAACAGTGGTTTTTACATGGGTGCCAGCTTTCTTCTGCTCCCGTGACTGCATACCTTATCGAAAGTCTTGGCGGAAGGCCATCTTGTTCCTCTGTCAATTTTTTTCTTTAATCCCAGCCATAAACAGAGTTTAAAGCTGTCAGGATGCCTAGCACACAACCCCCGGAAGGGCTGGCTCACACCACTTGCCAGCATCCAACGACACAGGTCTGCCAAACTTTCAACAAGCACGATTCGGCACAACCCCGACCATTCCAAACCCAGACATTTACTGCTTATATAACCTTTGAGAAGCGCAGCTGCTAACAAAAGCCTTTGCCTTTGCAATTAGGAACGCGGCTTTAGGAGCGCTCGCGGCACCTCTCCGGGACACGGAGAGCGAGATCGGTACAAAACCCCGTCTCCGTGTCCCGTGTGAGCCCTGCCCCGCGGAGCGTCCATTTCCCGACCGACCTAAACCACCCAGGCCGGGTGCCTGGGCACTTCCCGCAGCACGGCAGGGGGTGCCTCCGGGATGCCTTACGCGATTCCTCGCGGGATTCCTCGCGGGACTGCTCTCGGATCCCCCCGGATGTCTTCCCCGCCGTGCCGGCCCCGCCGCCCCCTCACNAGACCGCCGGCCCGCGCGCCCCCTGCCGGCGCGGCGGAGCGGCTGAGGGAGCGCTGAGGGGCGGTGCTGCTGCTGCTGCTCACGGCAGCCAAAATCCGGGAATCGCGGCTCACCCGGCAGGGCAAATCCTCGGAGCACAGAACGTGTATCATGGGGCGAGCCACCGGTTTGGATTTTTTTCGTGTCCACCGGAAATTCCCCAGAGTACCTGGCTTGGTTTGGCTTTCCACATTACAGGTTTTGGGTTTTCCTTTCCGCAAGTGTGAAGCACGGCAGAACACCTCCCAGTACTGCCATCCCGCTTTCCAGCTGGGAAAAGGCTCCAGTCACTGCTCCCCTCCCGCGCGCTTTATTTGGTCAGGGGCGAGGAGATCCGCTCAGCTGGCCCGAGCGTGGTGCCCGTAACGCCGACGTGAGGGCTCCGTCCCTGTGAGGGCCATTCAGGAGCTGGACTCGATGATCCTTGTGAGTCCTTTCCAACACAGACAATTCTATGATTATGTGAGATTTTAGCCTTTCCGTGACCACCGGCTAGCACATTTGTGAAGTGCTGCCTTTTGTAGGTGTGTGCATAGCATTTAAAACCTAACAGATACTGTATCCTTTCTTCAAGCAGGCAGGACTTCAAATGGAAGTCGAAGTAGCTGAGTACATGTGGTAACTGAGTCGCAATTTCCTAACACGTTTCGTCCTCGGGGCACAAATCAAGGAGCCGTTCTTTTGAACGGGACCTTACTCGCGGTTCCAAGCACAAATTATTCAGTGCTGGCATAGAAAGCAGAAGTTCAGCCACCTAATCCCAGATGTGCTGTTACCCTAGGAACAAGCATTTCAGGTATTTGGCTTCCTTGTCTAAACACGTAAGAGACACGGGGTGTGTTATATAAACCTCCTCTGTGTACTTGGATTTAAGAGGAAAAATAATACCAACCCTGCCTGACCTTGGAAAACCAGGAGTGCTCATACACGTGTCCCCCCATGCACTTACCTAGCAGTGCTCTCCAGAAGAAAGCAAGCTGCCTCTCCTGGGCAAGCAGGCACACACAGGTTTCTGTCATGTCTTCCACGGGTTTGACCAAGACAATATCATAATCCAGATGGTCTGAAAGATTTTTTTGTTGGTAGAGTTGCTTCACACAGCACACTTTTTTTGTGGATTCATTGTGGTTAAGGTCATGCCTTCCTAAGAGGATTTGCTCTTTGGATACATCTTCCATCTTACCCCTAAAGGAATATCAAGGGTAAGGAACCACATGCATCTTTTAATGGTCTCTCTCCTCCCACCCTTCATGGCAGTACACTCTGCTCCTCCCTCAGCCATAGCCTTTGCTGTACCACATGTGCCTTTTTACACAAACCTGCATAGCTGATCAGAAAAATAAATTCAAATTGCATCAACTTAAGCAAAAGGCAAATTTGTGATCTACTAAAATAGTGGCAAAAGGCTGGGTAGAGATACAGTTTTATGGAAAAATAAACAGGATAATCTGCTCATATTAAAACAGCAGCAAAGATAGACATGTAGTGGGCATTTCCTCAGCACTGGATAAAACTGTGTATCAGTGTTCACAATAAACCTCCAACCAGAGTAGGAAGAAAAGGATTTTGGATGCATAAAAGGGATCTAAATACACATCAGAAATAGTTAATGAGGATAATTCAGAAGTGTGTGACACATAATGCACACCTATACCCAAGATTCAGTGCTATTTCTTGCTGAATGGGAATCCCCACTTACAGTTCTGCAGCATAAAGCAGCAGAATAAAGCAAGCTTCCCTGATTTGGCAAAAGCGTATGATTCTCTTGTCACACTCAAAGACATTCTTCCTTGCTCATCTCTAGTGTGGGAATGAAGACCAGGGAGAGAGTCATCCCTCCCCATTCCCTGGAAAGGGAGGTTTGATATGAGGTTTGATAGAGAACTGGAAGCTTCTTCTAAGTTTCTCAGGTATGGGCCTGCAAAACACATAGTAGTGCCCCATACAGGGCACTACTCAAAACACAAAGAATTTGAAGAATATTCTCTGGCACAATGGCTTTAGAGCAGATTTTATGGTGTTTAAAGAACAGTTCTGTTTTCTGTTTATATTGTTCCTCTTTCAATAACTGCAATAATGTAGTTGAAGGGCATCAGCTGAGTTAACTTCTCTGTTAAGTGCCCCAGAATGTGATTTCCCTGTTCTGCGATGCTACCCCACAGCTGAGCAGTCCACCCCTGCCTCGTAAAGGGGGAGTAAGGAAGCAAGCCTGGCAGAGCTGCGGGTGCAGCCGGTCGCCAAGGCAGACCAAGCCGCCGGCTGCTCCCGTCAGAAGCAGCAAAAGTCCCAAGGCAGAGTATGAAATTCTAGAAGAGTCGTCATTGTAGCTGTCAGGAAGCCTCAGGCAGCTGCCGTGGGAATCGCCAGTTTGCCCAAGCTCTGCCGCTGGAAAGGGACTGTTTTCCCTTCGTCCCTGTCAGCATGACCCTCCCTCGCACGTATCCTCTCTGACGTGTGTCCTTGGTCCCCTTCCAGGCAGGCCATGACCTGGCACTCGGTCCCGCAGCTGTGCGCCAGATCCCTCCCCTGCCTTCCCGCAGGGGCCGCCGCCTCAGGGCGACCTCAGCCCCAGCCCGCCCAAGGAGCCGAGAGGAGCAGCAGCCACCTGCGCGGAAGTCCAAAGACTTCACTGCCCTGCAGGGCACTTTCAAAGCTCTCTGCACTGTATTTACTCACCTTGAATCTCTGCTCTTTGTGTCGAGCTACCCCAGTGCCAGAGAGGAACTAAACGTTTTTGAATTCTCACACAAACAGTTTCACATATAGACTGTAAACAGATGTTTTAATAGCCTTTTCCTGCACACCACACACAGCCTTTTTCTTTTCTATAGTTTAGGGATTTCTCATTTCTGCAAACTTTTTAATTACAATTACACTTCAGTCTATTCTATCCAATTTCACACTGAACAAATGTACCGACTACATCTAACTCCACACTCATCTTTCATTTAAAGAGGTTCTCAGGAAGGTCTTCTGTAGCTTCTCCAGAGAGCCTAACCAAAAGCAGAACTTATGGAAGTAATGGGTTGCTTTTGAGCATTAGGGTCCCACCACAGACATGAACAAATCTCTTGTTGTGGCTCAAACCTGTCAATGCAAAAAATAACAGGCACAGCACCAACGGACTCATATTGGAGGGAGAGAGGCATGTAAACAGTGCATAAACAATTTTAACTAAACTAAAACTGTTTTCACAAAGCTTCAACCAGCTCCAGAAAAGTTGTTCTATCACAAACAGAGATTGAGCCTGTAGGAAACCAGCAGTGTGATTTTGGTCACTAAATATTTTGCAGCTCCCTCCAGTATATATACACACACACACATTCCAGTCAAAACCGGAGCAGGAAAGGACTCATAGCGCAGACTTGGAACACAAGGGCTGTGTTGCAGCTCCAGGGTTTGCTCTCATTTGAATGGGGGAGCAGGTTGTTGAACAACATGCAGCACACAATCGAAACAGGTCTCTTTGGCTTTCTCAGAAGCATTTGTCTCATACTTTCCCAAAATCCTTTTTAAAAAAGCAGTTACAGCAGCATGACAGTAAATCAACCCCTCATTCTATTGTGAGTGAGGTTGATGCTGAAAAAACCATGAAATTTAGAAAACACAGACCACTACGAACAAGGAAGAAATTACAACATAACAAATTATAACATCATATTGTGAATTTAAATCAACGTAAAAGCTTTTCTAAAATTGGATTCTCTGAGGCAGTGGCATTTATAGGATTTTCCAGACAATGTGAACACAAGACAGCATTCAAACAACCTGCACACAGGAATTTCTGTCCAGTCCCGTCTGAAGTGCATCAGTTTGCACTACAACCAGCACCAGAGACAGTGTAAGCAAACTACCTACAAGCCTGCAAAAAGCCATCAGAGGAGGGGAAAGGCCTAACTTTTTATGTATGTGTCATCACTGAGGGTGCTGTGTCTGTGTCTGGGAAGGACCCGAAACTCCAGCTCCCGTTGGAGTTGCTTTAAGGGCAGTACAGCACAAGTCAGGTACTGGCACTCAGGCACAGACAGTTCTGTGTGCTTCCTGCACCACAAAAAGCTGCCCGTCAGCGTGTCTGCTGGAAGGCACAAATAAAAGGGTGTTCGGGCAGGATTCACTGCACCCCAAGCTGTGACCCCATCTCTGCTTTACAGTAAAAATTGTCGGTGGTGAGCAGGGACCAGAAGATGCCGGAGATTAAGAGTGGGTGCGTCCTGCAGAGCTGTGCGGCGGCGCTGAGCACCAGGTGGAGCTCGGAGATCTAATCCTGGCCAACAGGAGTGCACCAGAGCGCCTGACCCACATTCCTTAAGCCCTATTACCTTTAACACCTCGGGGGAAAAATCCCCTTC